AAAATATCAAAATACAATATAAAAATAATAACGTAGACATGCTATGGAAGATATTCATCAGCAAAACTTAAAGATCAGTAAAAAGTCACTTTGAGACAAAATCACTATTGTTAGTAATGAAATAGACTATAAAATAGGTAATTACAGATCCAAGTAAGAGTAAAAAAGACTCTATTTTAATCTTCTCTCTTTTCAATGAAACCAGAGTTTCTCAGCCTTGCCCCTGTTAACATTATAGGGTGGATAAATCTTTGTTGTAGGGAGGTGTTCTGCACATTGTAGGATATTTACAGCTTCCCTGGCCTTCACCCACTAGCTAACAGCAGCACTGTACCACAACCAGCCCTTTGTGCTGACAAGACAAAATGTCTTCAGACTTTGCCAAATGTCCCCTGAGTGGCAAAACCTCCCCTAGTTGAGAGCCCTTGCACTAAATATAAAAAGAAACAGCTGACATTTAATAGACATCTTCCTCTATGCAGGGAAAATATACAATCCCATGATAAAGATTTTTAAAATTTTCTTTTATAGATGAGGAAACAAAGGGTTAGAGAATTTAAACCACTTGGCTAGATAAAAAAAAAAAGAAAGAAAAAGCCAGCGGGTAACAGAGTTACGACTAAAATGAGATCCCTGACACTAAAGTCCATACTATTAATTTTTCATTATTCTGAGATATGATTTTGAGAAAAGCCATTCAAACTACATGCACCAATTTATTCACCTATAGAATGAAAACTCTGTAAATGTATCATCAAATATATAAAAATTTAAAGAAAGAAGATATCTAATGAAGGGAACTAAACACATACTTCTTTGACTGAGGGTATAGTAACCAAGTCTATACTTCATGGCAGTTTCAGATATAGGCTAACTTATATTCTCATGTTTCCACTTACAACTTGTGAACCATTAAGAATTTTGTAGATGTATTTGTGAGTTTTCACTAGCAAACTTTGGACCATGCCCAGGAGGAAAAAAAAAAAACCAAAACGTAAAATGTTAAATTTCTTAACCTGAAAACAATCAATCTCTACTAGAGAATTTAATTAGCGTAAGAAATGAAGTTTCAAAACAAGGGAGTTATGTGTTTATCATATGCTTTATAAACCCAAAGGTGATACTCATGGATCCAGGTTGGGATTGTATGCTTAAATTGTACAATTCATGACTGCTAAACTAATTACTAGGAATGTGCTTTTGAGAATAACCATTACAGTTTATTTTGGGTGACCTAAAAAAAGAATTCATAGGTTTCATCTCAAACAACATGGACTTTTTACATACAAAAGCAAAACTTGAATTTGAAGTGTGTGTGTGTGTGTGTGTGTGTGTGTGT